CCCACAACTTGGCCGACGCATCGCAGGCCCCCGACACGAACGTGCGCATGTCCGGCGACAAGCTAAGCGACATCACGTCACCTGTATGCCCGGTGAATGCCGTGCACTGCTGGCCGGTTTCGATGTCCCATAGCGCGCTGCAAAAGAATACCAAGTTTAGGATACATCCGCCATTGATAACTAGGACAAAATACAAAATATACGGATAGAGAACAATAATTTACAACCTCATAAGAGTTTAAAAAACCTCAACATTTCAATATACAGTTTGACATTACAAGCATTTTAATATATTCCAAGATATAAAATATTCAAGATATTACAAGCAGTTTCGTCACATATATTGGCTATGAAATCAGAACGTGTTATAAAGAATCAGTATTCCACTCAGCTTGTTTTCAACAGATGATGTATTTAAATTGTTATAGTCTAAACCTACATACTAAAAGAATATTCATAAATACAATTTTGCAAATATAACAACATATATCAAATAATTTTTTGAACTGTCTGTTACGTTTTCAAAGTAGCAGCTCGTATTACAAAGAAGCTTCAAATTGTCCTGGTTCTGGCTCTAAATTAAAGTCTACAAATTGTAGTTCATTCATATATATTTTATTACCATTTAACAGTTTGTTTGAATTTAGTTTGCACAATCGATATTCAATCCCAATGTTGAAATAATCACAACGACGTTACATGTTAAGGTGGGAAGCTATCTGTTGTCCCCCCACCATTTTAGATGACGAGCGTTTTTAAGTCGGTGCCGTGGCTGTTAATAATGAATTTGGAACATCTTAGGTATTAAGGGTGGACTTGAAGAGTCCATGTGACTTCATTTGCCAATTTTCCCCATCCTAAGGCCCAGATTGCTTCATCGTCTGAACAATGGACAAAATCTTAACAACCTACTGATACCTGAGCAAATAATTACCATTTTGGAACAGATGTTTGCAAGAACCACGCCTTAAGTCAAAATTGTGTCGAGTAGTACGGGAAACGAGTTCTGTCACCTGACGGTTTCCGTATACAGCACTGCTGCGAAAGCCGATCTCTTACTTAATTCCTGAAAGTTAAAAGTTATGAACAACCAACGGGCACAGCTAACCTACAGGTGGAACAGAGAGTTGAAGTCTTTCAAGAGGTTGACGCTGACCAGTTTAAATACCTCGGTTTCATCTCTTCATCATCTCCAGCGATGGTACTATCCATTCAGACTTATTTTAAACTGAATGGATAGTGCCACTGCTGGAAAACTTTTGGGTACCTGCTTAATACTTCGCCTGAAAAAGAAGCTTTTTGCCAAGAAAGTTGGTCTGTCCTTAAACTGCCTATAGCAACGTTGGTTTAAACTCGTGTAGAGAATCAAATTAAGGTTCCATATATACTGACCTGTACAGGGAATGATCAATCTCTTCCGGGCAGATAATGATTTCAACGGATGTGGAGATTAAGAGGAGATCGGTATTGTACGACAAACTGGTCGGGCATAAAAAATTTACTACAGCGCACAAACTTGTAGTGTGGAAGACGAAATACAGTAGAGGTCAACCGGGAGACCAATAGGCCAGGAACAAGGTAAGGATAAATCTACTATCAGAGGAGTATTTTATTCTTACAGCAAAAGTATCGAAAAGCTGTTGACACAGCGGGCATCAAAAACCGGAGACGCTGTGTCTGAAAAAATGGCTAAAACTTATGAATTCAACAAATGCAATACACAATAGTATAGCGACGCGTTTGTATCGAGATGCCTATGAGTTCAAATAGCATATATTTGCTGAAAATTTAATCATGTAACAGGGGAACCACGCAGGAATGACTTCGTACCTTTCTTACTGCCGTTAATCTTGTTTCTTAACCGTTACATTCTGATTATTTCCACATAATTATTTACCGTCAGTTGACTTCCTGCAAAATAATGCTGCCTGCATGACACAGTATGCAATGATTCTTGACCATACTATGTTTTGCAATGGTGCAGCCATTCTCATCTACCCTGCTAAAAGGTCGTGTAGACTGAGACCGTTTCTTCAATGTGCTCTCGCGCACCAACAGTTTCTTTAAAATCCTATCCCAGTGTGCCCTTGCTTCATACATAGATAAACATTATTCAGCGTTCTGCAAGCATGAAAGCTTGCCATCGTTATAATCCATTGTTTAGTGCATCATAAAACATTTTTGAATCTATTTTAATTTCGCCTTCTACTTTATTAACGTAAAATTCTGTCTCGAAAATGTCCTTAGGAATGAGAACACGCTGAATAAATTGAGCTAATTTACATTTACTACAAGCTCACAAAACTGAAAATTATTAGGAAGTACCTTATGTATTCGTAAATTCATATTCTGCATATTCCATCAAAATGTAATCTATCAAACCTTCAACAAAACATATTTAGCATTTGTCACAAAATAAGTATACTTCAAAACGACGTTTCGGTTTCATGCAGGAGGGCACAAGGGATACACAACAAGTGCTGCTTGTAAATATTTGCGATGATTCTGTTAAAGCTAGAGCCTAGAACTGATACTGGAGTCGGATCTAGTAAGCTGACACGGTGGTTGTTCGTCAGTGACATCTGTCCGTAACCAATATCTTATAAAGTGTACAACTGCTCGGGAACCGTTGAACTGAATGAAGGCTGGGTAAAAATGACAATAAGTGACGACGGCTGACACCTAAAATGGGATACCGAACAGCTGCCCGACATAAACTCTCAGAGAATATCGTAGGATCATCGACCTGCATTTACCTCCTGGTATCTGAACAAAGAAAACAATTCATATGAAACATGAACTATCTTT